TTTCTTTTAAGAATTAGGGTTTATCTTTCGTTTCCATCTACTTTGGTTGAGTTTTATTCAAATTATCTTTTATTTCCTTCTAACTTGGTTTATTCGATTTCTCATTGTAATTCAGTACGTTTGTATAAACTTTGATTCTTTACAATGAATCTTAACAAGAGAATTAGAGTGGTAAAAAACTGAGTGTGAGTTCATTTAGAGAAAAACCAAAATATTAAATATGAGTTAAATTGAGTGATACCATCATTTGAGTGCAACATGTGAGAGAGTGAAGTGAGGAACTATTCTTTTGCTTTACTAACTTTATTTTGCAGCTAAATACAAGATGAGTGGATAAACAAATAATATATAAAATGAGATAGATAGGTTCTAAGCCTTAACAGAACTAATGCAAGTTATGGATAGAAAATATGGTGAGATTATTGATTGAATGGAGAAGTTAGAAGTTTCAGTTTCAAGGGGGAAGCCACCTAATGCTCCTAATCCAGCCATACGAGGTAGGAGATTTCCAAATAGAGTTCAAGAGGATAAAAACTTTAAAGATGATGAATCATGTGGTGATAATAAAGAAGGAGAAGAGGTGCAACCGAGAACAAGAAACAACTATAATAGCAACTTTAGTGGTGTTAAATTAAAGATTCAATCATTTCATAGAAAAATGGATCCTGAAGCTTACTTGGATTGGGAAAAGAAGATTGAACTAGCATTTAATTGCAATAATTACACTAAATTCAAGAAGTTACAATTTTTCGTTGCTGTTTTTTAATATATTACTTGGTGGGATGATACAAACAAGAAGTAGAGAAGAAATAGGGAGAGGCCTATTGAAGAATAGAGAAATTTAAAGTCCATCATGAGAAGAAGATTTGTATCAAACTATTCAATAGAAAGTTGTGCAATCGACTTCAAAATCTTATGCAAGATTCCAGGAGTGTTGAGGAGTACTAAAAAAAAATGGAAATGGCCATGATTAGAGCAAATGTCGAGGAAGATACTGAGGCTACAATGGCTAGATTTTAATGGTTTAATAAGGAGATTTCTAATGGGTTTGAATTGCGACTTAATATGGAGCTAGAAGATTTGTTTCACCTTACTTTGAAGGTTGAGAAGTAATTGAAGAGAAAAGGTAATCCAAGTCATTTTTCTTCCAACACTTCAACATTCAAATCAAATTGGAGGAAAAGTGATAAGGCGTTGTCATCCAAGCCTAAGGTAGAATCGAAAGAGGTTCCTAAAACATCCTTCTAAGAAAGATAAGGGTAAGCTTTACTCTACTACTAATATAAGAAACATTAAATGTTTCAAGTTTCAAGGTGTAGGTCATTACAAGTGGAACTGTCCAAATTAAATAACCATATTTATGCTTGATGGAGAGTATTATTCGGCTAGTGAAGAAGAGAATGAAGGAGCCCATAAAGATGCAATTGATGACGAAGATGAAGAATTTACCACGATAGAAAGTGGATGGGTTCTTATAGCAAGAAGAGTTTTGAATATGCAAGTCCAACAAGACGAATGCAATCAAAAAGAGAACTGTTCC